ATGTCCATGAGTAGTAAGCTATAAAACTTTCTATCCTGTCCTCTTCTGCAACGAAATACTGGTTGCTGACACATTAAATCAAGAACCCAGTCGCTGATGAAGTGTTTGAAGTTTTTTGAGATTTGGCCAGAAGCATCTCCTTACCTTATCGTACGTTTCTCTGGTGTAAACATTTGAAAACTGCTTCTTCTTTCCACCATTCCCGTACCCTGTACGATCCAACGCTAAATTCTCTAGCTGCCTTACGATTCCTTTTTTTTTTCACAAAATTAACGGCTTCCGGCTCAAACATCGCTGCAAAAAATTTCCTCCGTACAGTACCTTTTTCTCAATGTGCAATTTTCTCAGTAACAACTTTCAATTTTTAAACAACACTTGCATGATACACGTGCTCAAAAACCAGAAGCAATATGGTCACTCTTGTTAATTTTCCTGTTCGTTTGTTTTAGATACAGAAACAGCCAGTCCATTATTCAATTATTCATTTGTCCAAAAAGTGCCTGCTTACAGACAATAAATAGGCCACACGCTACCTACACATTTTATGAGAATTAAATGTTGTGATGTACGTTCACTATGCGTTTTAACGAGCATAAAGAAGTACAAGTTGCGCGGTAAACATAAAGTGCGCGTTATCGATGGGAAAATGCGGCGCTTCTTTTGCTTGTAAAGCATGACTTACCGTTTAATAACTAAAATCCTGCCAATAACCCGAGGGAGCTCTTGGCGATTCATTTAATTTTTACATTAATTAATTGGTCCGAAAGGGGAAGCGGCGATGCAAGATGAAGATGAAGATTAATTAATTCGTAATTAATTTTTATATTGCAACCACATGCCAGGAAAATTAGATTCCCTTCTAAAAAAATTTATTGATATGCATCCATATAACATTGATCAACGCACTTAAATCCGCTTTCAGTGAAACCTTAAGGAGCTGGATGTACACAGCAACAACGCTAGCATGAAAAAGTGAAAATATCGCATTAGTCTCACAGTGCCTGTAAAAGGAAGGCTCCAAGGTATCCATATTGTTTCGGATAATCTAATACAGTATGGGCAATTTTACTGAAAATGTTTTGTGTCAATCTCCTTTCGTGAAGACATTTTCCTTCATACCACTGTCCCTTTTCTAAAGGATCCGACATACATCAGTATTTTGTTAGACACCATTTTTGTTACAACTAATGTTAAGTCACCTGATTCCCAAGAATGTTTAGATACTCCAATCTTCAATTTTTCAGTATGGGCGCTTGTTACTTATTTCAATCATTCATTCGTAACGTATTTCATTTAGTGAGTTTGCCATCGTTTTTGCGTGTCGTCGTCATTGTGAAGCATGACCTGTCTGTTCTTTATCCTACATAGTGACCGCACTTCCATACGGGAGTAATCATCAGCGAAGTGCGCTGGTTGGCGCAGTGGAGTGGATACAGCGAATTAAATTTTGAATAGCATGGGTGAATGGTGACTCTTTCGCGCGATGCATTGGCTTATTATGATTGTAGTAAGCTTGTCTCCTAATATATTGACTTTCTGTGAATTTACTCAGCCGGTTGGCCGTTCCTGTTCTATCACGTCAATTATGACGATGTGTATCATAATCAATCTTTGCATTAGTTTTGATGTGTATGGCGTCGTAAAACTGGTCTCTGATAGTTTTTGCATTTTATTTTAGTCACCGTTCATAGTGCCGTTTAGATACAATGCCATATTCACAAAAATGCGTTCGTTGTTGTGCCCTTTTTGACACTCTGGAGTGGGAGAATGGAATCCACTTCGTCAAGGTACTGCAACGCCTGTCGTTGAAGTGTTTGAAGGTATAAAATAGAGGTGCTTGACATTGTGGATAGATGGAGTCTATTTCACACATTGAAGTGCATTACCCTAACCATAGTGTGCTCTGATCGTAATATCATGCAGTCTCGTGATATGGAGAAGTTAAGGTTTCATTCAATCGATTGGCCATCGTTGCTTTCGCGTGTCACCATCATTATGTGGCATGACGTGTTTGTCCTCTTTCCTACAAAGTGACGGCATTGCGGCGAGTGAGTGACCATCATCTACTGCGTTTGGTGGCGTAGAATTGCTATAATGGATAGAGTGGAGGAGTTCCAGATTGCATGGATGGACACCCTCTCGCACGATGGAGTGATCTGAGTGAAACAGCCGGGCAATCAATGCTGATCAACCGTTGAAATCGCCACATCGATCGTCGCAGCTGCGGATTTGTCAGTATCACAGCGCTAACAGTGACATATTAGCTACATGGTGGTTGCTAAATGCGTGCGTTGACCAACTTTACGGCCACTAACCATCTCTCCGGAGCAGCTGGTCGAACTTGCTACAACCTTGGGCCAATCATTAAACGTCGCCATCAATTCATCACAGCGATTCAAGTTTGAATATAAGGTCAAAGCGTTTGGCACTCTGCCAGAAAGGGCACAACCACGAACTAACGCATGTCGCATGAATTTG